AATTAATATTTTATTAAATATTCAGGACTAAAATTACCCTGTCCGTCTAAGCTGCCAACATACCGCCATTTTTATTTCCACCGCTCGCAAGTCTCAGTAATCTGACTCGTCTGTATATTTGACATTACGATGGCTGACAATCATAAAATATATATTCGTAGCTTTTCATATTTCATGAAACATTCTATTTAATTAAGTACGTAAATGTTTCCCGTAACCACTTTAGCTTATTGTTTAAAGAGCGGTGGTCGTCGCGTCTCGTCCTGTTCGATATGGGACTCATAGCGACGTATACAATGCGTGTAAAATACATTGTTTGTTCACGTGAAATTCTAACAGGGCTGCGCAGCGACCACCGCCCTTTAAAGTTGACGGGTCGAATTAACTTCGAAATGTATAGTCCTGTTACCAGTGTATCGTCGAAACAGTCTAAAATATTGAGGCTCCCATAATTACGGTTACTAACCAATCACGTAGCCTATCATAGTCACGTGAGGTACGCCTTATACCCATTGGTGGAATTTGTTGTGGACTATTCTATTCATACCAAAGGGTGTAAACCATAAATGAATTAATAACTGAAATTAATAACAGACTTCTCGGTGGTAGACAATTTGCTATGCTTATTTCAACCGCACATCATTGATTTAGTTAGTTCTGTTAGTATATCTAATAAATTGCAAGGTCTCAAAAGTATCTACATATCCATGCCCCCATCAAAACTAAAAAAAAGCTCATACAAGTATGATATGCCTTGGCCGTTCTCAGTCCGTGCTGGGTGCTCATACCTCACACATTCGCCTGTGAAAGATACATCTCCCCTAAATTTCCAACAAAAGGTAAGATCATGTAGTAACTGTATAAGCCTGTAATACTATTGCAGTAGTAAAGCAACGACCGTTGTCAAGGTTGGTAATTTGTCGACTGAAAGATAATGTTCGGGTGTGGTGAAAAACAAGTAATATCATCGTAACATGACGATCATGTGTTAACTATGACTTGGGTCTTGTATGGAAATTTACAAATGAACGATCAGTCAAATACTATGTTACTGATATTGCACTACTTATACATGTATTCACCTCGAATTTTGTTCAGAGAGATCACACCCTTCTCTCTATGGAGAGACTACGCTCATACCATTGTGGAGGAAGTTTGACGCCGAACCTCCTGAGTATAATGATCTGTACGTGTAGCAACACGTGTTGGGGCCTTGTGATGTTACGTAAAATACCAATAATCTGTATTTGAGTACTGTAAAATACTTTATTTTCGCTTGCAATATGATTCAGTGAAAATAAAATCCAGCGAATATACCCTTTTTCCTATATTTTACATTCAACTCGTCAACAATCAATGAAAATAAATTCCATACAAAATACCCAAAAAATCTTTTCAGCGAAAATTAATTCCAGCTAAAATAAAGTATTTTACAGTAGAGGTTTTTGACCGTAATGCAGACTCGAGGTCAGGAAGCGCGGTCTTCGAATACGGCGCATGTTGAACTCCCTCGGAGACACCCAACTTAGGACTCAGACTCGTAATAGGTTATACTTGTCTGAGTTTAGGATGGTCGTTTCGTTTTGGCATTGTAATTTTTATTACATTGAACCTGTGAATTGTTTGTAGTCATTGAGCACATCTTCATTGTTTGTGTCGCCGTGACAACCTTCCAAAACAAGTGGCTCATTAACACACAAACATTCAAACAATTGTCTAAGGTGTATTGTGTATATTTTGATTTCGTGAATCAAATTACGAAAATGTGTGAGATGTCAAAAATAGGTTTTCCCGAGAAATTTAGCATAACGGTAAATCTATCATGATGGGCAAGGGGATTATAAAAACTTATTCTCCAGCATACTAGTATCGTGTTTTGAAACTTGAAATTAGCACCAAACTGTCATTCATGGCACTTCTGTGTTTGTCCGAGTGGTTACCATCACTGTCTTGTTATCTCCGAACATCTGTAATTGTTCAAATTGTAAAATATCAGTTATTCATTCCTGTTTGTCTTGGGAATGTTATCAGGCATTATGAACTATCGATTATTTCGCTGTTACATTACTTGTCGTAATGGCGCTTCACTAAACTAAAAGTATTCTATACGGAGAGCTGATCATAGAGCACATCCGTCCAATCATGGATGTACTGATACATCCATGGTCCAATATAAGACTGCCACGTATTAAACTCATGTCTGCCAGGACATACTGGGTCTTCATTGTCAGACTGTCTTAGAGTATTTCTGAACCACGTTCCCTCAAAGGTGTTCCGTATCTAAGCGTAGTCGCGCGCTGTCCCAAATACAGAGAGACGTCAAGACACAAAACTTTGTGAGAACCGATTACAAACAAGAAAAGGCGAACCGCGTTCTCTCATAGGTGGTCCGTATCTAAGCGAAGTCGCGCGCTGTCCCAAATACAGAGAGACGTCAAGACACAAAACGTTGTCAGGACCAAATACAAACAAGAAAAGGCGATGTTTTTTTTGTTGGGGGGGGGGGGCGAGGTCGACACCCTCGTTTTTTTGGCATCATGAATATTCATATGACATGTATTATTTATCAAATTTCGTCAATTTTTTAATATTATACATACCTCATAAAAATTCTCTAGGTCAAAATGTAATAATAGTTTTAATAGAATTATTACAGAATTACAGCCGTAAAGTTTGATCAAGTTTCGTCAAATTTTGTCTACTCTACTTACCTCATGAATATTCTTGATACCGAAACTATAGAATAAATTGAATATATTCAATGATTTTTTCAGGGGTAAAAAAGAAACTTACTGGCGTCAAGTTTGTTCAAATTTTGTTGACCTTGACTAATCGCGTGCCACATGAATATGCATGAGGCTGAATCTATCGAATAAATGGGATATATACACCTATGATTATTTCTAAGTTTCGTCACATTTTGAGTAAATATACTTTCGTCATGAATATTCAACTATCCAACAAATCAGATATAACCAAAACACCAAAGATGGGTGCCAATACTGATTAAGTTTCATCAAACTTTGAGTGCTATACGTGACCAATCAGTCTTAATTATTCCCTAATATAATAAGTTTCAATAAAATGATTAAAGCGGGAGGGTGGTCACCTGCGACGCGCGGAAATTTGAGTCCCAAGCGACAATAACAGCACCTGCTAAAACGCAAAGACTGTGCCATGCATTTCTTTGGGCTCTGTGCGCGCTGCGTGGAACGCCTGTCGAGCCGGTGAAATTCAAGAAAACAACAGAAACTCAACTTTGATTTATCCTGAACATCAGATTCATATATGTTACACAAGTAGGGCTAATCTTGTTACACTGTTCAGGGGACTCTCAACAACCATCCCAAAGTACCGTTTTCTGCGAATTGTTGGCTTTGTTTTCACCGCGATGGTTGCAGGTGGTGAAAATGCCCGGATGTCCGCCCCGAGGATATGTGCTTAATTTAGTAGTAGTTAATTTACAACAATGTTTATTTTTGATTAGGTCGATTCAGAGTAACACAATGGCATTCTTCGACGTAATATCTATGGTCACATTGTTCTCATTAGGTGAGTTGTTCTAAAAAGTCATATAATTATTTAATTTGTTGTGTTTCACTGTCTCCATGGGAGATTGTCTCCCAGAATGCATTGCACATGTGCGCACTAACATGCTCAGTAGTGTGTATTATTATGTATATAGATCTTTTGTCAGGTATAAGTGCAAAAACAATTTACAGAAATAAATGTTCATTCAAGTACCTGTGGTAAAATTTGAAGTCGGCTTCTACTTGAAAAAAAGATTATACTAATAATAATACTGTAAATGTATTAATTATTCACTGTGTTTTAATTTCGCTGATAAGTAAAATTCGCTTGATTAAATTCACGTGAGCATAAAAAACAACAACAACAGAACTCATTGTTTCTCAGCAAAATTCGTAAAGCCACGTGAAAAGACTCGGAAATCAAAATATTAAATGTCAGTGAAAATAAATGGTTTTACAGTAGCAGAGAGCAGCCTATGTATGAGTGCGTCATCTGAGCCATGACAGAATCTGCTCAGTGAGTGCATATTAAAGTACGCCCTCTTTTGCAATTCGTCCTTTATAAAGGATTCACCGGCGGCGGGGGTGGGGGGGGGGGGTGGCGGCACGAGAGGGCGCCATCCGATCTGAATGGAATGTATCGACGTCAGTCGCCGTAGCCCATCGTCTAAGCAACAACGTCCCGTTTACGAAAAGATGAAATAATTTCAGTAATTTCTTGACAGAATAATCCTCAACAAAACTTAGAAACATTTCATAGACAAAATAGACAGGCTCCAAAATTATGTCTATTGCAAAACAATTCAACCGACAACCAGTTTGACGCCACAATTTCTAGCTTGAGCCCGAATTCTACGCGTGATTTTATTGCGTTCAAAACTGTTCCATTTCAGACTGCGCATGCACACAATGTGGTTTCTCGAAATGCATACATAGGCAACTTGTCACTGATAAAAGTTACCGAAAACATTTTGAGCAACTTTCAGTACTTTGCCGTACTTTGCCGTACTTTTCAGTTCTTTGCCACTACTTGGCAGTACTTTGCCACTACTTTGCAGTACTTTGCCACTACTTTGCCGTACTTTGCCACTACTTTTCAGTACTTTGCCACTACTTTGCCCTACTTTGCCACTACTTTGCCATACTTTGCCTCTACTTTGCCGTACTTTTCAGTCTTTGCCACTACTTGGCAGCACTTTGCCACTACTTTGCCGTACTTTGCCGCTAGAGTGAAATATAAATGTGCTTCTGCATTCGCCATGAATTTCATAACTTGCTATGATCATGGTAAAGAGAAAACCTGTGCTTACTTTCAACAGTTAGCTGGAGTCTGATCGAAAACGTGTCTCAAAAATACTTTTACATCATTTTCCCGATTATTTTTTCGGCTCGTAACGAATCAGTCAATTTAGAATTAACATGTATGTGCTATCGGAAAGCATTTTGGCACAATTTTACTGAAAAGACGAGTTTTTCATTGCACATGAATATTAATTTATGCAAATGAGACGATTATTTCAACCAATCGTGTCATGCAACTTCCCCCCGGGATACACGAGGTTGCGTGTGTGTGCTACTTGTATGTTTGTGTGTGTGTGTGTGTGGGGGGGGGTCAATTTTTTTTTGACCGAAGCGGCCTCAACGTCGATCTACTTGAGTCCAGTTTTCAACTGGCCGAGGAGCACTCCCACCCAAAGACAATGTACCGGTGGGGATGTCAGTGCGTTGACAATCGGATAAACCTGCAATTAACTTGGCTATTCCTCTTTTACAGGATGTCTGATTCATGGTACTAGTGGCGATTTTGAATGTATAAAATGTGAATACGACGAGTCTTGGGCTAGTATTTTTTCAGACTACGACTGTGTCACTAACCCGGGGTCCATGGAGACGGCCACTTGTTCTACAACGTGCTATACGTGGGCATACTACAGTGAAGACCTGTGTAAGTAGGATAATCAGCGTGGTTTTCTCCTCGTTCCGCCGTAGGTGGCGCACTGCACTCACAGTTACTTTCAAATTTAACTTTGAATTCCTTGACCGTCAAAGCCATCAATTGCAATATTTGGATCAAGAATTATAGGTATCGAACAATTCCATCTATTGGCTACAACATTACCTCTCTCCACATACAGAAAACGTGCAAAATTTGACACCAAGCTGGTGACAGAAAAATTAATAAATTATTGAGTTTAAAGCGGGGGAATCGTCACCTGCGCGTGCGTCAGATGGTTATAGAGTGTCATTGTTTACGATCAAGCCTCTACCCATGAGCCTTTGTGCGTTTTTAGCATGCGTTGTTATCGTCGCTTGGGCTCAATTCCCGCGCATGTGCAGGTGACGACCCTTCCGCGTTAATATGTTTCCAATAAAGAGTGTTTTTTCCCCCAAATATGCTGTTCAATTAGTATTATTATCACGCCAACGTAAATTCCTTAACCCTGCCAGTGTTATGGTTGGCAAGTCCTTCTGTTTTCGTCCAACTTTATTTTCATTGTTTGTTTTTTATATACGTTAGTTGGTCAGTATGATTTGAAGGTGGAACGAGGCTGTGCGTCTTTGGAACAGAACAGCACGTGGTCTGCTAACCAATGTGACGAGTACGATGACGTAGATTCCTCGGAGAGCGCCTATGTATGTACATGTGATTACGAGGACAGCTGTAATGCCGATGACTCGGGTAAGTGGAAATAAAATTGGGTATGGCAAATGAATATCAAACAAAGTGCTCACAGATTTACCATTCATTTAAAAACAACCTTCAAGGTATGTGGCTCATATATTCGGGCACAGTGGCGCCCTACGGTAATGCACCGAGAGTTGTTGAGTAAAGAAAAAAAACCCTTTGACATAGTGACGTCAGTATGTAATGTTTTCATCCTACGCGCGCGTTCTACAAAACTTGTTACCACGAGATCTCGAGATCTCGCGTTATTATTTTGAAATCTCGTGACGAATCTGGCAAATAGTATGTCATTTCAATCGTTCCTCCTGTATTCTAGATTATCACCAGTGCTACTACTGTGAAACCAAAGTCAATGACTACACATGTAAAAACGACTTAGTAAATAACCACGAGCCAATAGCGTGCCTCACTGGACATTCTGGATGTGGTACTAGAACTGTAGCCTACAACACATGTGAGTATCATCAACTTTTTGTTACTAATTCCCCACGCCAACCACCTGTCGCATTTAGATTTGTTGTTCTCTCTCTCTCCAACACTTTGTTCAATGTAGGGATTCAATGTCGCAGCTCGTGTTCGAATTTCACGTCAACAATTTACTGTACTGTGGGTCCATAGCTTTTCTTGTGTCGATTTTTAGTCTTTGTGATGGTATTACAATCATTTCTGATACATTTGGTATCATTAAATTTGCTATTTTCAGACCTTATGATTTTAATTGACACAGTGGAGCTATGGCTCCTCCCATAGACTTGAGTAACACAAACGTGTGACGCCAAATGACGTCGCAAATAAAAGTCGATACAGGTACACCATTTTCATATAGCACGCAACAGAAACGGAGTGGAAATAGTGTCATTGTGATAAAATCCACATCAGTAACCTCAACAAATTTCGTCATAAAACAACTCTTGTCTTAACTTTTTTCGTAATAGGGCTGTTCACCGATGCTGCCGAAAGATACTGTACTGACGAAGAAACTACCGACGCCGATGGTGATTGCACGACCGATAATTCGGGATTTGAGACCTGTCTCTACTACTGTTCCGGAAATGCATGCAATGACATTGAAAACATCGCCAGTAGATCCACTATCCCAACCACATTGATATTTACCTAGATTATAGCATCCCTTGTACCCTGGTGAAATCACTGCTAACCTGAGCGATAAGCGAGTAACCTTAGTCGCTCTCAACACACGGTAGTATAGAAAAGTCGCCTGGTTATTTCCCCCGATTATTTTGTACTTGTTAATTAGTTCGACTTGTATACAGTCTCTTTTTTAATTCTTGGTGATTTTTTTTCATTTAAATAAAATATTATGGGAGCGTGTAAACGGCGAAAGCCGGGTTACCGCCGCGAAAGCCTGCTTACCGAGAAATAAACAAAATAACCATAAACATCATGAATGTATATTTCGCAGTAACCCGGCGTTCGACATTTATATACTCTCATTAACATACAAATCATTATTGTATACTTTCGCACTTTTGTGGATTTGGCAATGGATTTCTCCCTGAGACTTGATACATTCTTTTTTTTATTCATAGTCAGGTTTTTCGTGCTGAACTTCATGCTCAAACCAAAACGAATGTTGCAATGAAGATAATGTCTGTAACTGTTCCAATAAAGTTGTATTGTATGCTTACGTGAAATTCTAACAGGGCTGCGCAGCGACCACCGCCCTTTAAAGTTGACGGGTCGAATTAACTTCGAAATGTATAGTCCTGTTACCAGTGTATCGTCGAAACAGTCTAAAATATTGAGGCTCCCATAATTACGGTTACTAACCAATCACGTAGCCTATCATAGTCACGTGAGGTACGCCTTATACCCATTGGTGGAATTTGTTGTGGACTATTCTATTCATACCAAGGGGTGTAAACCATAAATGAATTAATAACTGAAATTAATAACAGACTTCTCGGTGGTAGACAATTTGCTATGCTTATTTCAACCGCACATCATTGATTTAGTTAGTTCTGTTAGTATATCTAATAAATTGCAAGGTCCCAAAAGTATCTACATATCCATGCCCCCATCAAAACTAAAAAAAAGCTCATACAAGTACGATATGCCTTGGCCGTTCTCAGTCCGTGCTGGGTGCTCATACCTCACACATTCGCCTGTGAAAGATACATCTCCCCTAGATTTCCAACATAAGGTAAGATCGTGTAGTAACTGTATAAGCCTGTAATACTATTGCAGTAGTAAAACAACGACCGTTGTCAAGGTTGGTAATTTGCCGACTGAAAGATAATGTTCGGGTGTGGTGTAAACAAGTAATATCATCGTAACATGTGACGATCATGTGTTAACTATGACTTGGGTCTTGTATGGAAATTTACAAATGAACGATCAGTCAAATACCATGTTATTGACATTGCACTACTTATACATGTATTCACCTCGAATTTTGTTCAGAGAGATCACACCCTTCTCTCTATGGAGAGACTACGCTCATACCATTGTGGAGGAAGTTTGACGCCGAACCTCCTGAGTATAATGATCTGTACGTGTAGCAACACGTGTTGGGGTCTTGTGGTGTTACGTGAAATACCAATAAGCTGTATTTGAGTACTGTCAAATACTTTATTTTCGCTTGCAACATGATTCAGTTAAAATAAAATCCAGCGAATATACCTTTTTTTCCTATATTTTACATTCAACTCGTCAACAATCAATGAAAATAAATTCCATACAAAATACCCAAAAAATCTTTTCAGCGAAAATTAATTCCAGCTAAAATAAAGTATTTTACAGTAGAGATTTTTGACTGTAATGCAGACTCGTGGTCAGGAAGCGCGGTCTTCGAATACGGCGCATGTTGAACTCCCTCGGAGACACTCAACTTAGGACTCAGACTCGTAATAGGTTATACTTGTCTGAGTTTAGGATGGTCGTTTCGTTTTGGCATTGTAATTTTTATTACATTGAACCTGTGAATTGTTTGTAGTCATTGAGCACATCTTCATTGTTTGTGTCGCCGTGACAACCTTCCAAAACAAGTGGCTCATTAACACACAAACATTCAAACAATTGTCTAAGGTGTGTTGTGTATATTTTGATTTCGTGAATCAAATTACGAAAATGTGTGAGATGTCAAAAATAGGTTTTCCCGAGAAATTTAGCATAACGGTAAATCTATCATGATGGGCAAGGGGATTATAAAAACTTATTCTCCAGCATACTAGTATCGTGTTTTGAAACTTGAAATTAGCACCAAACTGTCATTCATGGCACTTCTGTGTTTGTCCGAGTGGTTACCATCACTGTCTTGTTATCTCCGAACATCTGTGATTGTTCAAATTGTAAAATATCAGTTATTCATTCCTGTTTGTCTTGAGAATGTTATCAGGCATTATGAACTATCAATTATTTCGCTGTTACATTACTTGTCGTAATGGCGCTTCACTAAACTAAAAGTATTCTATACGGAGAGCTGATCATAGAGCACATCCGTCCAATCATGGATGTACTGATACATCCATGGTCCAATATAAGACTGCCACGTATTAAACTCATGTCTGCCAGGACATACTGGGTCTTCATTGTCAGACTGTCTTAGAGTATTTCTGAACCACGTTCCCTCAAAGGTGTTCCGTATCTAAGCGTAGTCGCGCGCTGTCCCAAATACAGAGAGACGTCAAGACACAAAACTTTGTGAGAACCGATTACAAACAAGAAAAGGCGAACCACGTTCTCTCATAGGTGGTCCGTATCTAAGCGAAGTCGCGCGCTGTCCCAAATACAGAGAGACGTCAAGACACAAAACGTTGTCAGGAACAAATACAAACAAGAAAAGGCGATGTTTTTTTTGTTGGGGGGGGGGCGAGGTCGACACTCTCGTTTTTTTGGCATCATGAATATTCATATGACATGTATTATTTATCAAATTTCGTCAATTTTTGAATATTATACATACCTCATAAAAATTCTCTAGGTCAAAATGTAATAATAGTTTTAATAGAATTATTACAGAATTACAGCCGTAAAGTTTGATCAAGTTTCGTCAAATTTTGTCTAATCTACTTACCTCATGAATATTCTTGATACCGAAACTATAGAATAAATTGAATATATTCAATGATTTTTTCAGGGGTAAAAAAGAAACTTACTGGCGTCAAGTTTGTTCAAATTTTGTTGACCTTGACTAATCGCATGCCACATGAATATGCATGAGGCTGAATCTATCGAATAAATGGGATATACTAGTATACACCTATGATTTTTCTAAGTTTCGTCACATTTTGAGTAAATATACTTTCGTCATGAATATTCAACTATCCAACAAATCAGATATAACCAAAACACCAAAGATGGGTGCAAATACTGATTAAGTTTCATCAAACTTTGAGTGCTATACGTGACCAATCAGTCTTAATTATTCCCTAATATAATAAGGTTTCAATAAAATTATTAAAGCGGGAGGGTCGTCACCTGCGCATGTGCGGAAATTGAGTCCCAAGCGACAATAACAGCACCTGCTAAAAACGCAAAGACTGTGCCATGCATTTCTTTGGGCTCTGTGCGCGCTGCGTGGAACGCCTGTCGAGCCGGTGAAAATTCAAGAAAACAACAGAAACTCAACTTTGAATTTATCCTGAACATCAGAATTCATATATGTTACACAAGTAGGGCTAATCTTGTTACACTGTTCAGGGGACTCTCAACAACCATCCCAAAGTACCGTTTTCTGCGAATTGTTGGCCTTTGTTTTCACCGCGATGGTTGCCAGGTGGTGAAAATGCCCGGATGTCCGCCCCGAGGATATGTGCTTAATTTAGTAGTAGTTAATTTACAACAATGTTTATTTTTGATTAGGTCGATTCAGAGTAACACAATGGCATTCTTCGACGTAATATCTATGGTCACATTGTTCTCATTAGGTGAGTTGTTCTAAAAAGTCATATAATTATTTAATTTGTTGTGTTTCACTGTCTCCATGGGAGATTGTCTCCCAGAATGCATTGCACATATGCGCACTAACATGCTCAGTAGTGTGTATTATTATGTATATAGAGCTTTTGTCAGGTATAAGTGCAAAAACAATTTACAGAAATAAATGTTCATTCAAGTACCTGTGGTAAAATTTGAAGTCGGCTTTTACTTGAAAAAAAGATTATACTAATAATAATACTGTAAATGTATTAATTATTCACTGTGTTTTAATTTCGCTGATAAGTAAAATTCGCTTGATTAAATTCACGTGAGCATAAAAAACAACAACAACAGAACTCATTGTTTCTCAGCAAAATTCGTAAAGCCACGTGAAAAGACTCGGAAATCAAAATATTAAATGTCAGTGAAAATAAATGGTTTTACAGTAGCAGAGAGCAGCCTATGTATGAGTGCGTCATCTGAGCCATGACAGAATCTGCTCAGTGAGTGCATATTAAAGTACGCCCTCTTTTGCAATTCGTCCTTTATAAAGGATTCACCGGCGGGCGGGCGGGGGGGGGGGTGGCGGCACGAGAGGGCGCCATCCGATCTGAATGGAATGTATCGACGTCAGTCGCCGTAGCCCATCGTCTAAGCAACAACGTCCCGTTTACGAAAAGATGAAATAATTTCAGTAATTTCTTGACAGAATAATCCTCAACAAAACTTAGAAACATTTCATAGACAAAATAGACAGGCTCCAAAATTATGTCTATTGCAAAACAATTCAACCGACAACCAGTTTGACGCCACAATTTCTAGCTTGAGCCCGAATTCTACGCGTGGTGATTTTATTGCGTTCAAAACTGTTCCATTTCAGACTGCGCATGCACACAATGTGGTTTATCGAAATGCATACATAGGCAACTTGTCACTGATAAAAGTCACCGAATACATTTTGAGCAACTTTTCAGTTCTTTGCCACTACTTGGCAGTACTTTGCCACTACTTTTGCAGTACTTTGCCACTACTTTGCCGTACTTTGCCGCTACTTTGCCCTACTTTGCCACTACTTTGCCATACTTTGCCTATACTGTGCCGTACTTTTCAGTTCTTTGCCACTACTTGGCAGTACTTTGCCACTACTTTGCCGTACTTTGCCGCTAGAGTGAAATATAAATGTGCTTCTGCATTCGCCATGAATTTCATAACTTGCTATGATCATGGTAAAGAGAAAACCTGTACTTACTTTCAACAGTTAGCTGGAGTCTGATCGAAAACGTGTCTCAAAAAATACTTTTACATCATTTTCCCGATTATTTTTTCGGCTCGTAACGAATCAGTCAATTTAGAATTAACATGTATGTGCTATCGGAAAGCATTTTGGCACAATTTTACTAAAAAGACGAGTTTTTCATTGCACATGAATATTAATTTATGCAAATGAGACGATTATTTCAACCAATCGTGTCATGCAACTTCCCCCGGGATACACGAGGTTGCGTGTGTGTGCTACTTGTATGTTTGTGTGTGTGTGTGGGGGGGGGGGGGTCAATTTTTTTTTGACCGAAGCGGCCTCAACGTCGATCTACTTGAGTCCAGTTTTCAACTGGCCGAGGAGCACTCCCACCCAAAGACAATGTACCGGTGGGGATGTCAGTGCGTTGACAATCGGATAAACCTGCAATTAACTTGGCTATTCCTCTTTTACAGGATGTCTGATTCATGGTACTAGTGGCGATTTTGAATGTATAAAATGTGAATACGACGAGTCTTGGGCTAGTATTTTTTCAGACTACGACTGTGTCACTAACCCGGGGTCCATGGAGACGGCCACTTGTTCTACAACGTGCTATACGTGGGCATACTACAGTGAAGACCTGTGTAAGTAGGATAATCAGCGTGGTTTTCTCCTCGTTCCGCCGTAGGTGGCGCACTGCACTCACAGTTACTTTCAAATTTAACTTTGAATTCCTTGACCGTCAAAGCCATCAATTGCAATATTTGGATCAAGAATTATAGGTATCG